AGACCTTTATGTCCAATGGGCTTTGCTGCTTCACCAAGCGAGGGATCCATGGTGTGGAGGACAGAGTACTGGATTTGGAGTCAGAAGACTTGGGTTCCAATCCTGTTTCTGCCACTTAGTTCCTGTGTGAAATTGAGCATTTAATATCTCTGGGCCTCAGTTTCCTTACCTGTACAAAGAGATGGTTTGGATGAGAGATGACCCTTCAAGTTCTAAAATGCCATGATTTCACAGAGGCCTCATCTCCTTGCCCCATCTTCCCCATTGCTCATAGTTCCTTCCCTCTGACAAAGCCTCTGGTCAGGGAGGCCCCACCACGGAAAGCCCTGGCTGAGGAACAGCTGCCACCAAAGCCCCCACGTCTCTATCTGCCCGTGGATTCAGCTTCTGTGGAGTCACCGGTGAGGGAGCAACAGGGTGGAGGGTGAGGGGCAGGCCGTGTGTGGGAGTGGGGCATCTATTTTTCTCCCTTTTATTCTCTTCCATCCTGGGATGGTCTCTGGGAGGGGCGGCCAATCTTGTCTTGAGAGCTCGTCTTCCCCAACCCCATTCCCTTGTAGTGTACCAAACGTCCCCACATGGAATACAGGAACAGCCTGAGACAGGGGCCATGTACCACACCTAGCAGGTAAACCACCACTACTCTGGATCAGAGTTTGAGTCTTCTCAGAATGGGAATATCTCAATTACCTAGGGAATTCCTGTGTGACAGGGTTGTATGGGGGTGGGAGGTGAGGCGGAGGTGGAGGGGCTAGAGGCAGTGACTTGGATGCCCCACTCCAGACTCAGCTCTTGCTTCATTACCCTCGTCCAGGCCTTAATTGTTGGAAGTACAAGATTTAGGAGGTAAGAGGAGCCAGGGCCCAGGAAACTGAATATGCTATTCCTGGTGGGTATTACTTTTTCCCTTATTCTGCAGGATGCCCTCCCCCTTCCTCCAGCACCCACACTTCCTCCTTCTTGTAGGAAACCTCCCAAGTTCCAAGACTTCTGTTATGTTGCTGTGCTGGGCCGTGGTCATTTTGGGAAGGTATTACAGGACCTCAGACAGAGAGGTCTCAGGTCATGGGGTACTTCCCTCCTGGGTATAGGGAAGTGGGGGTGGCAGGTGGGAAGAGCCTAGGAAGAAAGATGGGAAAGGATCCTCTCCCTGGGGAGAAGATAGGGCTTGGCAAATGCAGGCACTCATTGGGATGCCACTGGATTATCCTCACTGGATGGTATAGGGAGCTTCCTCTTAGTCCCAGCCTTCCTCTGGGTCCCAGGTCCTCCTTGCTCAATATAAGAAGACTGGGACATTCTACGCAATCAAGGCACTGAAGAAGCAGGATGTCTTGAGCCGGGATGAGCTGGAGAGGTGAATGGGTGGGAGCACCTGTTATCCTCAGGGGTGGCTGTAGTAACCAGGGCTGTCTCCAAGGCAAGCAGATGGGGAGAGGGATGGCAGTTGGCCCCAGATCAAGAATACCCTTTGGAATTGGCCTCTTACCCTAGGCTCTGATGCCCACACCCCATTTCCCTCTATGCAGCTTGTACTGTGAGAAGCGGATCCTGGAGATGGTAGGCCACTCTGGCCACCCCTTCCTTCTCTCTCTGTTGGTGTGCTTCCAGACTCCCAGCCATTTTTGTTTCGTGACTGAGTTTGTACCTGGGGGTGACCTGATGATGCGAATCCATGCTGATGTCTTTCCTGAGCCCCAAGCTCGGTGGGCATTACCCCCTTCCCTCCTCTTGTTCCCCCACACCTCTTTCCCCTGCTCCCTAGCTTCCTTTTCTCTGCCTAACTGCTAGGCAAGCAGCATGCCCTTTCCTCTGGTCTCCTCAACCCCTGGTAGGCTTCACAAGGCCATTTGTTGGTCCATGCATCTGTATTTTTTCATTCGATTCAACCAATATTTACGTTCAAGGCACTGCGCCGGGTCTTGGGATTCAAAGTTGCAAACTGTCCCATAGTCATTGTCCTCAAGGAGTTTCATCTGTTACTCGAGATAGGCACAGACAGACAGCTAGATGGTACACCGGATAGAGTCCTGGGCCTCAGTCAGGAAGACCTGAATTCCAATCTGGCCTCCAACACATAGTACCTGTGTGACTCTGGGCAAATCATTTTACCTCAGCTTCAATTTCCTCATCTGTAAAATGTGGGAATAGCACCTACCTCACAGGGTTGTCTTGAGGTTCAAAAGAGATGCCACGTAAATGTGAATGCTAATACTACCAAGTATAACATGAAGTAGAGTGTGATAAAGGCAAAGGAGAGATACAAAGTGCTCCACTCAAATCTCTAATGGATGGGGTCACTTTCAGCTGCTGAGATCTAGGAAAGCTTTGTAGAAAAGATGGTGCCTGAGCTAAGCACTGTTAAGAGGGTAACAACAAGCCTCTGGGGCCAGTGTAGGAACTGCATCTTCCCCATGACAGCAGGGATCCTTGAGGGTGGGACCTGTCTCTTCTCCGTTTGTCGTCACTCATGTGCTGAGGGTACCTTCCTTCCTGCTGTCTCTGGCTCATTGATCCCTGTGTGTCTCAGGCCATGAGCTCTTATCCTCAGACTTTCTCTAGGGCTCCCTTCAGGTCTAACGCCTATGATCCTGTCGCTCATGATCTCTCCCCAGGTTTTACCTAGCCTGTGTGGTTCTAGGCCTGCAGTTTCTGCATGAGAAGAAAATTGTTTACAGGTAAATGATGCTCACCCAGCCTGCCAAAGAAGGAAAGGGGTGTGAGGGACCCTCCTGCTTTTGAGTCGGGGCTCCTTCATGGGAGATGCCCCAGTTGGGGGATATGGGGAGAAGGCCCTTTCCTTCCTACCTTTCCCAAGTGAAGAACATCAATGGAGAGGCTCATCAGTTGAGGACCCTAGGACCCAGTCCCCTCAGTGGCCTCTTCTGCTGCCTTACTTCTGATTCTCCCTTTGCTCATCAGGGACTTGAAACTGGACAATCTCCTCCTGGATGCCAAGGGTTTTCTCAAGATTGCTGACTTTGGGCTGTGTAAGGAAGGTGAGTTTCGTCTGGGGGCAAAGGGTAGCCTGGCAAACTGGGTGCTTGGAACCCAGGGGTCCTCATCATAGCCTTCTTGGCACCTTGCATTCAGGGTTAGGGTAAGAGGTGGTCGTGTAGTTTCTAAATGTGGCCAATTCGAAGTGACTATTCCTTCGTTCAGTCTTCTCTTTAGATGAGCTCAGACTCAGTTTGGTTCCACTTGGGAGGAGCTGTCTCTCTGTTCTCCATTATCTACTGGGTCTATGTGGATTCCTCAAAGGGTTCTTAAGCAAGAACTCTATGTATGAGTACATGAAGTACATGGAGCAGCCAGAGGCTTTGGTCTGAAAGGCAGTGGGAGGTGACATTTTTCCCCCTGGCTTATGTATTAGGAATTAAGAGTTTTAGGTGCTCACATGCATAATATTGAGCTCCACCTCCTTTGCTCAACTAATCTGATACTGATGTTGGCCTTGCAGGGATGGGTTTTGGAGACCGCACCAGCACATTCTGTGGGACTCCGGAGTTCCTGGCACCTGAGGTGCTGACGGATGAATCATACACACGAGCAGTGGATTGGTGGGGGCTGGGCGTACTGCTTTATGAGATGTTGGTGGGTGAGGTGAGTCCACGCCCCACTATTCTGTTTCTTCACAAGCCCAGAGCACCCTTCTTTGGGGCATGAAGCCAGGTAGGGGAGACTTGATAGGAGCTAACTCACCTCCACCTGAAATGCCTGTCTTCACAGTGCCCATTCCCTGGGGACACAGAGGAGGAAGTATTCGACTGCATTGTCAATGAGGAAGCTCCCTATCCTCATTTCTTGTCTGTGGAGGGCCTTGCACTCATTCAGAAGGTGGGCACTCAGGCTGGGGCAGGATGGTGTGGGTACCTTGACTCTTGGTACAGAGCTCCCTGGCCCTCTATTCCATCCTCATCCCCCAGACATTTCAAGTTCTTCCTCCTGTCTGGCAACTGTTGTGAGGAAGGAGAAGAGGCCTGGGCTGCCTGAAGTGAGCATTGTTCCCTGTGTCTTCTTAGTTACTCCAGAAGTGTCCTGAGAAACGTTTGGGGGCAGGTCGGCAGGATGCAGAGGAAATAAAAGTCCATCCTTTCTTCAGGGTAAGATGGTGATGCCTCCAAGCAGGGTATATGTGTGTTGTAAATTGATGCCTTGCTTTGTGAATGAGTACTCCTGGGCCAGCCATGAAACCAGGTCAAGAAGGGGGATAGGGTTGGATGGGCAGGTAGAAAGGGGACATGACATCTGAAGAAGCAGGGAGAGGCAGTATCTGGGAGTAGAGGGATGTGGAGGTATTGATATCTACTGATGCCTTTGACCTCTTTTCTGTCTCTCCTTCTCTCCTCCTTACCTCAGTCCACAGATTGGGAGGCTCTGCTTTCTTGCCAGGTCCAGCCTCCCTACGTGCCGTTGCTGCATGGGCCTGCTGACCTCTGCCACTTTGACCAAGAGTTTACAGTGCTGCCCCCAGCCTTGACACCTCCTGATCCCCACTGTCCACTCAGCTCCCGACAGCAGGCTGCTTTCCGGGGCTTCGACTTTGTCTCAGATCGGTTCCTGGAGGTCTGAGCTACTAAGGGAGCAGGGCAGCCTTGGGTAGTACACCATATCCCTTTCTTCTTTACCCAGCTGGGTTTACATAGAAAGCCAAGGGCCAGGGGGAAGCCTGGTAGTACTTCTCTCCTTTGTGGGCATACCCCACCCTCCACTCACCTTGAAGCTTTAGGAATAATTTCTCACAACTTTTGCACTGTTTCCTCCCCTTGAAGCTATTGGCCATCATCCATCCCAGGGAAAGGAATGATCTCCCTTATTTATGAACCCCATTCTGGTCCCAATAATTCCCTTCTGTTCCCTTAAAGACAAGCGGGGAAGGTTGAAGAAGAGGCTTCCCTTGCTGTTATAGAACCTTCCAGAGTTAGGTCTAGGCTGGGGAGGGATGGGAGGAGGATGTGGGAGTTAGGGAGTGAGCTGGTGACAGCAGCTGGAGCCAAGACTGGTCAGCAGCCAGGGTTTATTGAACATTTCTGTACAAAGCACAGACTTCTGAAGGGTCACAGTGGGAAGCAGGGTGCACTGGTGTGTTATTATTATTTTTTTTTTTCAAACAGTCTACCTGCTTTTTGGATTATTAAATTTGTAAACTTCAGAACCCTAGGGGAACTGGTCTGAATTGGGATGGCTGGGGATGCTGCGGGGAAGAAAAGAAAAATATAAAAGTTCTGAGGCTTCACTGGGAACTAAAATTCAATTTACACTAAACAGCGCTGTTTACATAAATAGACTAGTTAAGTATGGCAGCGCATACTTGAGCCTCAGTTCCTCTCGCCTCCCTCCTTGGGCTTCGAACCAGCCTAGGCCTTATCTACACTACTTCTGTGACCATTTCCAGTTGGCCCTTAAAAGTCCCATTGTCCAAATCCCCAGTCCTAACCCAACTTAAGCCTCTGGGGTGAAGCTTGTCTCCTGGGGAGGGGGACAATTGTTTTGCAGTCCAGTGGTTCCCCAGGGGGTCCAGCAACCTGCTACAGGAATGGAGAATGGGAAAGAATCCAGGGTTTAGGCACAAATGGGTCAAGGGTAGCAAAGAGGTGGCCTTCCTCCCCAGTACTTTAATGGGGATAGAAGTGCCAAGATGGAGTGGAACTAGGTGCAATCTTGACAGGCACATGTAAGTTAGCCTGAATGGCAGCCACCAGAGAGTTTGCACCTACTGCCCACTTCTCCTAGAGGCCCTATACAGCCTCACCCTCTTCTTCTTGGGCATAGAGTACCTCCCAGGGCACAGCCCCATAGTTACAGAAAAATCGAGCCAGGTTTCGGGCAAGGCCACGGTCAAATGGACTATCAGGACGGTGGCGGAGGTAGGCAATTCGATGTGGGGAGATAAATTCCCATGTGGTCATATCACTGGCCACCAAGTAGAGATGAGAGGCCAGAAGCAGCATCACCACAGTTGAGAAGAGGCCCAGCAGCAAGAAGGTGGCAAAAATGAAACCATTGTGCTGGAACCAGCTTTGCCAAGGCTCATGGAAATGGAGGCCAGACCTGCAGGGGTAGGGGGGAAAAGGGGAGCATTGGGAGACATGTGTCTCTGAACCATCCCTAGGGTCTAGAAGGCTGTGGGTACATATTGCCCGGTGGTTCCACACTGTAGGGGTTGTCCCAGACCCTATCCCTTCTGAAGTTTCTCTGTCTCCCCCACGCCAGACTCTGGGCAAGGAAGGCAGATCTTCAGGCTGGGAAGAAGAGTACGTACCAGGCCAGGTGCAAGCCCCAGAGGAGCACCACCAGCTGAACTGCCAAGTAGGCCAAGAAGAGGGGGTGGTTGCGCTCACCCACACAGTTTTCAATCCAAGGGCAATGGTGGTCAAAACGACGGACACAGCGTTTGCAGGAGCGGCAGTGTTTGGAACGAAGGGGCTGCTGTGGGGTTGGGAAGGGGATGAGGACAGCCTGTTAGTACAGAGGCAGGGATGAATGTTCATTTTGAGGCTAGGGACACTAAGGCTGCTAAGGGGAGGGGAAGAGCTGCCAATGGGAAAGGGGAAATAGGATATACTTGCAAAAACACCAACAAGGCTATAACTAACTAGTCATGCGGGCAGCCTGTTAGATTTGAGGTGCTGGTCTGATTACAAAGACCAAGGCTGGGAATACTTCCTGGAGAAGGTGAAACTTGAGGAGAGTTTGGAAAGCTTCCAGGGGAAGAAGAGTCACTTCCCAGACAAGGCAAGCTGGGGGTAGGGAGGAAGAGGGGACTTGAATGGCATCTCAGCTGCTCCCTTGGACTCCATCAAGTTCCTGGCTCTGAGGGAGGTCAAAGAGCCCATTCAGGCAAGGAGGTATGTCCCTTCTGGTCTCAATCCCCATGTGTCTCCTTCACCAACCTGTAGCAAACAGTAGCCACAGTGCCGGAGCCGGAGTGTCTTTGGGGGGATCATAGCTGTCTGCTCCTCCTTGGGTTCTTTCTGGGTAGGAAGATAGAGAGGAACAGAGGTTGTTGCCTAGTGCTACTGCTTTAGACCCAGAAGGTTTGGGAATGTTCCATACATAAGAGGCAAAATGTGGTGGGGTTAACCAGCCCAGCATTCGGGAAATCTGGACTCTGGTTTCAGCTCTGCTCCTTCCCTGTGACATCTGGGGAAAACCAGTCTTCCCATCTCCATGGGGGAGTGGACAGGGACAGGATGAAAACTCAGACCCTCCCTCGGCCTCTCCCCTCCCCCCGCTCCTCGGGCAGCGGAGGTTACCTGGAGCTGGGTCGGTGGGGACTCCAGGTCAGGCCCCACATAGCCAGGGTCCATGAGCGAAACGGCCAGGTAGAGCAGCAGAGAACAGAGCACCAGGAGGATGAAGAGCAAGGGCTGCAGCAGCTCCCCTCGGGCTTCCTGCTGCTTCAGCTCTGCAGTCGAGGGGAGACAAACAGAAAGTCCCACAAGGACGGACATAGGCGCGAGACAGACACACGGGGAGAAGCGGGGGAGGACCGGCCCGGGGGAGGTACGGCCCGGAGCAGCCGGCGGATGGAGGGGGACCCCCGGGGGGGACGACACTGGCAGAGTCCGGGAGGCAGCGGCAGAGACGGCGAGATAGGGGAGAGGCAGGATCAGAGGCAAGGGAGAGCCCCGAGGCAGGCAGGGCCCCCGGGAGGGCGGGCGGCGGCTGCTGGGACCGGCGCGTGCGGGTCGGTGGCCCGGCCCAGATGCAGCTTCCCGGGGATGGTGTGGGGAGGGGATGCCCAGGCTGGCTTGGCGGGTGTGGGGATCGGGCGGGGGGCGGTTCCCACAGGCTCTGGCAGCGATCGGGCGGGGCCCCAAGCTCACCGGTCTCGTGCAGGAAGAGCACCAGCGTGATCCCCCAGGTCAGCACCGTGTGCCCGGTCCGTACCAGGACCCCGGGGCTGAGGAGCGCCCGCGACCCCATCGCCTCGGCCCCGGGCCCCGCCCCCCACCCCGACCTAACCGCAAACCCGGAAGAGGCGGTCGAACGTGCCTCGGCGCTCCGGGATTAGAGAAGCTGGGACAGGAGGCGGGAATTATATGAAGCGCCAGGAGTGAGGATTGGCTGAGGGCTGGGAAGGCGGGACTTCGGGGCTGACACGTGCGGAAGAGGCTGGGGGCGGGGCCAGGCTGCGCGCACCGAGCTTCTTCGAAAAATATCCGCCCCCCGCACGTGGCCACACCCTGCGGCCTCGCCTCCAGCTGGCCCCACCCAGGAATTTAATCTCCCTGAAGAAAGATGGCCCCGAGCCTGAGCCTATCAATTTTCCCGGGGGATGGGCGATCTTGCACTGGGGTCCTTTCCTTATCCTGGCAGCAGCACTCAATTACCTCGATTTTAGTATACATTAACGCACACCCACACACAGTCTCTTCAATCAGAATGGAAGCTCCTTAAGGGCAGGGGCCGTTTCATTTTTGTCTTTGTAGCCCCAACCCCGGGCACATGGCAATGGATCCTAAATGTTACGTTTGTTGTTTGAATGAATCTATTTGATAGGTGGGGCAGGAGGGTCCACCTCCCCTCCTTTGTGTGCGTCTGTACGGGTTTCATTCCCGGTCCTCTAACTTTACAGTAGCTGAGCCTTACAGGAGTGATAACTGAAGATATCATGGCTCCAACTCCACCAAGCCTCTGATTACTTCAGAGAGGGGGCTGAGAGTCCTGTCACCAACTTCCAACCCTAGCCTTGGCTAGCTACGGGGAACTAGACCTGTGATTTCACCTGTATAGGCGAGGAAACTATGTCTGTTGATGCAAATCAGCACCTTCTCTGCAATTTAGGTAGAGTTGCCTAGAGCACTGAAAAGGGTAAGTGACTTGTCTAGGGTGTCAGAGACAGCGAAGTGTCAGAGGTGAAACTTGAACCCAAGTTCTGGCTTGTTTAATAAGCAGAAATGTGGTTTACTGCCACTGCACTCAGGCCCCACAAGCTTGACTCTATCTTCTAGGGGTTACCAGACACAAAGATTGGGGCCATAAACCCTAGTTATACAGACCCCAGAATCATTGTGTGAAGAAGTGTGGTACTGCTACTTTTCCTGGACAGGAATGAGGTCTCTCAAATAGTCCAATCAACAAGTGATCCCAGCCTTCCTTACTCATGCAATTAACTATCAATGAAGTGAAAATGGATGAATTAGTAATAGGGGCAAGTAACCTCTATTCCTGTACTGTTGTCTCGCCCTGAAGTCCAGGAGTCCCATCCTTCCCCAATAAAGACTCTTGACACCCCCTCCATTTTGCACAAAAATGTATTTCTGTGACATCCCAAGTACAGACACTTACACAAGACCTGGGTGCTCATTCAAAGCAATAGGCTGTGCCAAGGTCCTCATAGCAGGGACAGTCTAGGTAGGGGATGATGGGGGGGTAGGGTTTGCTCTGTGGGGAAATACCCAGTCCCTGGTGGATGGTCTGGCAGATGACTCAAACTCAGCCCTCCTACCAGGACTGGAAAATTCAGAGTTCACCCAACACAGGCTCACCCTTGTTGGGAGCTGAGTATGAGAAAACCAAGGAGAAAAGAGATATTTTAATTCTACCTACACCATCCTGTTTCATACAGAGCTAAACACTCAGGGAGAAGACTAATAGAAGGGACTGGGAAGAAGGAAGAGGAGAAAAGATTTTCTGAGTGGTTGGCTTCTAAACACATCTCATTGATAACCGCCCCCCAACCTGTCCAAATTTAAAGCAATTCAAAATTACACCAAAAAAAAAATTGAGAGGTTTTGGAACAAAATATTTAAAAATACATACACGTCTCACACCATCCAAAACAAAGCACAGAGGTTCCAAAGGAAAAGTCAGAGATTACAATGCCCCATGGTACTGCCTGCTCCCACTGGGACGGATTAGGCTGTACCACTGAAAAGTGTCTGTTGTGCTGGTCTGGTGAAATGTCTGTTGCCACAGTGTTGGCCTGGGGGGAGCTGCCCCAACTCTTGATGTAGTTTCTAATGCAAATCTGAGTGGGGAAAAGGTACGCTGGGGTTGAGGGCTCTATCTTGGCAAGCTCTCACTTCCAGCTGTCCCCAGGTCTCCTCCAGCTGCTCTGAGTCATTCCTCCAGGCTTTCAGCCGCTGCAGGGAAGCAGTGACAGGGTTGTCAGCTGCCAAGGGTTAGTTGGGTGGGTGGGGGGAACAGGGAAGCATGGCGAGCTCAGCTATCGGGGAAGGAATGCCTGAGACAGGCAAGCACTTGAGTAGCTCCAGGGACTTGGAGGCAGGCATCTTAAGCATGTGCATCTGCTGGGATGGCGGAGGAATCTGTCCCTACACTATCTTCTATGGGAGGAAGAGATCCTTCACTCCCCTTTTTATTTGAAGAGGAGGGAGGCCTGGGCCATAGCAGGGGAGGGAGAAGAAAGGAAGTAGCTTAATGCTACCTTAGCAGCATGGCTTCAGAGTGGGTATATATCTGTGGCTTGCAAAAATCAATGCAAAAACATCACCATGGAGAATAGTGAACAGGGTACTACTAGTCTCTCCAAAGGGGTGAGGGTTATTCTGAGCTTACAAAGGCTAAAGACCTCTGTCCATTATGAGTCTCCTAATCAACACTGCCTATGTCTTGGCACTGTGAATGGCTCTGTGCCTTGCCTCTAACAGTCAACAGCCAAGGACCCTGGGCTTTCGAGGACCTCTTCAGGGTTTGTTCTAAGACTCTGTGTTCTTTTACTGCTAAGGCTCAAACTCCACCAGCCTAGCTTCCACCAGGCTTAACTGAGAGCCTAGCCTAGGCTCCTAGTTATCCCAGGAATCTGGTGCAGGGGACCAGGGATGGGCTGATGTCTTGACCATCAGAAGAGGGACGGAGGAAATAATAAAAGAAGAGATCTGAAAAGTCAAAATTTTCCAAGCTTTGAGCCAATGGGTAGTTGGTGGGGAAAAGGGAATGGATATTAGAGGCTCTCTGTGGGCTTAAAAAGGCCAAAGAATGTTGCAAGGACTTGGGGAGGGGGATGTTTCTTTTGTTTTTGTACAGAAATCATACACACAAAACTTCAATTCACACTTCCTAACAAAAAATTATATATATATATATGTATATATATATAATATATATATATCTTACTAATGTTAAGGAAAAGCATTGGTTGTGCAAAAGTTCCCCCAGTGCACCTTCATCTCATTGGGGTCCCACACGCACAGGATGGGGGCCTTCCGACAGCCAGGCTGGTGAGAATTCCTCCCTAGATACAGTAATTTAGAGAGAAGTTGGGACCTGTGCAGGCCAGAATCGGGAGGGCCCATTGCCTCTATCTGGATGTGTCCATGTTCTCCTCCTTAAAGTTACTGCAGTGCTCTATCACCATCCTGAGGACGACACAAGGAGAGGGGGAGGTATGATTTAGTTGTAGGGTCTAGAAAAAGGAGGCTTCAAGGTCCCATGAATGAGCACCAGGTGTTAGGATTATAGATCTCTTATTTCCCAGGTGGACCAAGATGTCTGCCTAGATACACTCGGCAGCCAGCAAGATCAGACTGATGGCCTTAGGCCATGGACAGCTGTTCTCAATACCCGTAGGACCATTACTACAACATGTTATGGCCAGACAGGCATTTGATTAGCCTTGTGATCCAATGACCCTTGAGTCATTCTTATTCATTCATCCACAAACCTACTTCTTTCCCTCTACTTGGCAACCAAATGCTGACTTGTATCACTCAGTGTTTCTTCCAATTCTGCTCACTCTGCTGTCCCATTCAGCCTACTCATCTGGTCAGTATCAGGATGATGACTGATATTCAATGCCCAAATTCCTTGTCTGCTGTTCCTCTGGCCAGTGAAGTTCACTACCTGTCCAATTCTTGCTGACATCTATCATTCTTTTCCATCTAGAACAGCCAGCGCTGCTTTAGCCCCAGAGGAGAAAGAGCTGAATAGGGATCTCACTTGTCCCGTTATGGGAGCAAAGAATGTCTGCTGTGAGACAGGACATGTAGAATGTCTTTTCTGAAACAACTATCAAGGTTCAAATACCTAAACTAGTGCTAAGTTCAATTGTTTTTTTTTCCTTGTCTGGACCTGTGATTTCATCCACACAGAAGGCTCTGGGTAAGGAACTTCTACCAATGCAGATCATCAACTTCATTGCAACTGGGCTCTTAGAGAGCTGCCTGGGGCCGCTGAGTGTTTAAGTGACTTTCTCAGAAGTCATGCAGCCAGAATGTCAGGGGTGGGCATTAAACCCAGGTCTTGGGCTCTAAGGCAAGCTCAGCTCTCCATCCACTCCAACCCTGGACTAAAGGGAGCTACTTCTAAGGAATACAGAAAGCGCAAATTCCTTATCTGGAACAGGCACAGGTACCAGCCATTTAAAAAACCAGAGCTAAAGTGATTTTAGGTATTTTTGGTTAACATCTGAGGTAGTGGTCTGAATACTCCTTTTATGAAATTAACTCTGAAATGTTTCATATTTATAAATTCACTCCAATTTTGTTCTGTCTTAATTCTTATAATTTGTTTCTAGAGATCACACTGTACCTATTCTTTGCTCTGTAAGTCTTACAACAGCCTTTGACCAAGAACAATAAAAAGTTCTAATCTAGTGCCAACACCCAGAGATGACAAAATAGAATGGAGACCAGGGGGAAACAAGATAACTTGGCTCAAAAAGTGAAAGCAATCCCCTATCTCCACACAGAGTTTGGCAGCACAGCCATACCTTTCTGGTTTTTGGCAACCCTACAATCTCTGTCCTTCCAGAGGCATCCAATGTGATGTAGCTGTCCATTACCCAGCTCATCCTCCCATTATCCAGTTTAGTTCCCCTTGTTCTAATCCTACCTGTCAATGTCCTCTGCTGCCTGGGGTCTCAAGGATATGAATTTTACCCACCCAAAGCTGTGAATTTCTACACTGTCCTATCACCAAAGAACTCCTGTATATCCCAATTCTATAAAATCACAGTTGCATGCAGTGAAGTAT